ATCGATGTTGATTACCCATAGCTTCGGCCCTGTCGGACAGAGAGAAGCGAACAGCGAAGCACATGGCGGCAAAACATCGTGTACATATTACCGACGAACATTTTCTTGACCTACTCAAAATATACATCGTTCTGACACTTCTATTGGGCCGTTTCTTCTTCAGAAATGTTTACAGAATACGATCCTGGGTAGAGGTTAAAGGTTGAAGAGCCTTTCGTGTTGAACAAAGAACTTTTCGTAAAAATACAACAATATTGCGGAGAAACTGCGCACGTCGACACTTTTTTAAACTTTGACATCAATTTATTGCTATTTAGGATCAAAAACAATTAATAAATTGCATGCCACTATATTCGGGAAACTCTCCACTATCTTTTAACACCAATTAGAACTTTTTAATATTTGTACTTTTCATGCAATACCTCATTTTTATCGAAAATTTTGGGTTTTTACAGAAGTTCGTTTATTTAAAAAACTGAGGGTGATGGAGCAATTCGGTTTTCGGATTCTAGTTCAGGGAGTGAAGCTCTACAAGAATTTCATAGTGGCTATAGGAACCCAGAAAAAAAGTTTGATTTTGTTGGACAGTGTAATTATTAAAAAAAATTGAAACTTTATAATTTTAATTACATTTAATAATGAGCAACCTGGTATGTATAGTAATTTTCTTTTGTATAGCTAATGTTAACATAACTTTGTCTTCACTAAGTACTAAATAAATGTTCAGGTACAGCTCATAGTATATATTTATTTCTAGTTGTAAGTATTTTTTTTTATATGTAATGATGTAAGAAAAATTTTATGGTAGTAATTTTTTTACGTCTGCAAAAACCATTTCAAATATTTCTTCTTTATTTTTTTATCCATTTATGAATGTTATTGTTTCATATAAATCTTTGTTTTTCATTGATTCGTTTTTATGTTTCACACATTCTGACCATACAACCTGCTCAAAGTATTCAGGGACATCAGGTGGATCATACATCCCAACACTGATCTTTAGTTAATGTTAAGAAATATTTCTTATCACATAAATTTGAAGTAACCTTATATGCAAAGAGGAAAAATCCATCCAATATTAAAGTCTTATCATTTGTCTCAGGAAATGTGTTTTCTTCTGGTGACATAAGATCGCATTTTATCCATATCTAAAACTGATGATTATTTTCTAGTTTGTTTGATTGACATAGTTTTATGTCGTGGTTCATTAATTGGAAAGAAATAGATATTTTGACATAAAAGAACAGAGTTTTCCAATTTCTTGCTAAATTGATTAATTAAGGTTGTTTTTTCATTGTATGTTGCTCCAGAAATACCAGATAGTTTAGTTTCTTTTGTTATTAGACTTATGTACAGTTATGTATATGTGTCGCAGAAAAATAGGTTACGCAAGCAGTGGGGTGATAGAGGTGACACGTATGATGCAATGTAAAACATGTTGAGAATTTTCTCTCTAATTGACGCTTAGATTGTACATGAAAATGGACAATTTGAAAAGAGGGGATACGATTATTTGAGTTTTGCGGCTCGTTCTAATAGTTACCAACTGTTAACAACTATAAAAACAAGGCTCAAATAATCGTATCTCCACTTCCCAAATTGCCCATTTTTGTGCATAATCTGAGCGTCAATTACGTAGAATTTACTGTATCGTTAAATTTTATTCCTATTGTTAGCGTATTTTATATAAAACTTGTAAGTGATGAAGTTTACTCAATATATCATATGAAAAATATGACTTAACATGATAAATAGTGAATAGAATTAATCCACGAATAAAATAAATCCCTGAAACTGCAGGTACCACTAAAGCTAATTCTTGAGAACCAAATAATGATCTTATTTTGTTATCATCAATAAATTGTAAATCAATCACCCATATAGTATATATAGAAATAATATAATGGTTACTGGCAGTATCACTTTACTTTTTTCACTGTCACTATTAAACATTTCAAGTTATTAATTGAAAGTATATTGAAAATGGTTACATGTATTATCCCTTCTTGTTCTTCAGAAGTAGATAATAGATCTTATATCTGTGTACTTTTATTTATTTACGAAATACGAGATTTATATTAATTATATTATTATTATATTATTATATATAAATTAATGATCAACATATTCTTGTTCAAACTTCATAAAATCTTCTTCTGTAAATTCAGTAGTTTCAGGTTCTTTAGGTTCTTCTTTCTTTGGAATACATTTCTTCTTTACTGCTCGATCTAAAAGCTGTAAGCAATTTATTAAGTAATATAATCTCATATGGAAATTAACCAAAAATTTTTTAACTACTTGATACCTTGACTGTTACATTTGTGTTAATGCGATTTTTACTAAGCATTAATAATCTTTCAACATTTTTATCTGTAAGGTCCTTCTCTGATGCTAATTTCTTTTTAGTTTCATAAATTGATACTTTTCTTGATCTTTTAAAGATTGTTGCAAGATCTAAAAACATGAATAATTTTTCTTAATTTATTATATGTATATTCTAAAGTAAGATCTTTTTTGTTTAGATATTTATATGTAGTCATACCAATTTTATTATTTCTCGATATTATCTTGTGTTTCGATGATATTAAATCCAAAGTATCTTGTTATTTAGTATGATTTTGTTTTTTCTTTTCTGTAAAATGAATAAGTGTTACTTTTGAACAAAACTGAATAATATGTGTATATAAAATGCGAACCCTGGTTCAAAGTCCTCTCATAACCAAGAAGTTCAAGACCTTTATTTAAAAAAAACAAGTGAAAATCTGACATTTTCTATTGTATATTAAATTCGTATGCACGTAAATATTTTATATACATGCATAACTAAGGATCGCACGCGTATGTTACAATTTACAGTGTGCTACAAAAACTCCATTCCATTGATACATACATATTATATTATTTGTGAAGATGCGAAACTCTTGTGATTTTCGGGTTCCAGAACTAACCAAAGTGTTTCTTGATTTTATCACACGATGACACTGCAATACCAATGCGTGACGGTAAGCCGTTTTATCCCTACTGTTGCGGCTCCTATCTTGTAAATGTGTGAACATGGTGAACTGGGCCGCCATCTTTTGGAGAGAGTTTTGATGTTATAATAACTTCGTGTAGCTGCGTTGTTTTGTTTTATTATGGGACTAATAGTGTTTGAGGACTATATGATGAGGCGCTGTGTAGAAACAAAAGAATACAAATGTTAACGAGAGCAACGCGCAATTGAAAGTTTTTTATATATTCTCCTTTTTATTTGTGTATATTAAAAAAAAATATTTACAATTATTGAAATAATAGTTAGTAACGTTTGACTTCCGTTACTTTAAACGGTAAGTACTACAATTAACTTGGAGACATATATATATATGAGATATTATGATTCTAATAAGTCTTCTGGATGTCGCGTTTTAATCTTCTAATTGTATCCGCATAGCAGTTTGCTGTTAGTGGATTTGGGTGAGTGTTGATTCTATCTTTGTGTTTGTTAGTCGAATAATTTCTTCCTGTACAGAGAGAACATTTAATGTTTTACGAATGTTGTCATTCCTGATACACCAAGGAGCATCTATTATTGTGCGAAGTATTTTTGTTTGTAAGCTTTCCATTTTTTGGATGTGTAACTTTGCTGCCGTTCCCCAGAACTGGATTCCATAGGTTCAAATTGGTTTTATTGCACATTTATATATGAGTAATTTGTTATTTGTATTGAGCTTACTTTTCCGGGACATTAGCCAGTTCATAGATTTGGTTCGCATTTTAATACTTCTAATTTTTTGTTTTATGTGATGGTTCCATGTAAGTTTCTTGTCTAAATGAAGTCCCAGATATTTCACCGAGGTTGCTAGTGGTATGATCCTATTGTATAGTTTAAGGTTATTTGTTTGCTCTGTTTTTCACTTTTAGTGGTGTTAACTTTAATTCTGTTCGTATCTAACCAGTTTTCCACTTTCGTAATGTGGTTTTGAAGATTTAACGTGGAAGTTTGTAGGTTATCGTGAATGGAGATTACTGCGGTGTCATCTGCGAATGTGTAGATTTGAGTGTTTTGATCTGTTGGGATATCAGCTGTGTAAATAGTGTAAAGTAGAGGGGCTAGTACACTTCCTTGAGGTACTCCAGCTTTGATTGTCCAGATGTCCGAAGTAGTGTCTTTAATTTTTACTGTGAAGCTTCTGTTGTCTATGCATGATGTAATTATTTTACGTAGTGGAGTGGGTAGCATATGTTGCAATTCCTCGAGCAGTCCTTGGTGCCAAACTCTGTCGAAAGCTTTTTCGATATCTAGAAATAGTGCTGAACAATATTTTTTTGTTTCTAGTGACTGGATGATTTGTTGAACCATGCGATGATTTCAGAAACCAAATGATATGGGTCTGTATGATTGAGGAACGTTGGGATTTTTTCCCGGTTTTAATAATGTTATAATTTCTGCACATTTCCATATTTGGGGGAAATATCCCACTCGAAGAATTGCGTTTGTGAGTATAAGGGTGTACCTTAATCCTTTTGTCAGTAGTTCTTTCAGCATTTGGGCTGTGATTCTGTCGTTTCCTGGTGATTTATGGTTTTTAAGGTTTCGGATTATGGTTTGAAGTTCTTCTTTTTTAGTTGGTTGAATTAGAGTGGTGTACTCCAGTACTATTGTTATTGAGACTATCAATGAGGCAAGTGTCATTGGTGAATACCTCTTGAAAATAGTCCGCCATTGCATTTGCTTGTTCTTTGAGTGTTTTAGACCATTGTCCGGTCAGAGATTTGATAGGACTTATTGGTTGTATTGGTCTTCTGATTTTTTTGGCTGCTTTCCATAAAGAGTGATTTGTTATTTCAGTTGTGTCAAGATTGGAAATATATCTGTTAAATTTGTTATTGTTGTAGTTATTGATTTCTGTTTTTATATTTTTGTGTGTGTGTGATTAGCCTATTAAATTCTGTCTTCAAGTGTAATGGTTGCCTGTGCTGTCACTGTCCCCTTATTTGGCTTCTTTGTTTCATTAGTTCTGTAATAAATGCTGGATATGCTGGATATCTTTTTTCTTTCTCTTTTATTTGGTACTGTGTGGATTCTGTTGCTGCTGTCTGAAGACAAGTTGTCAGCTTTTCTGTTGCTACTTCTATGTCTTGTATGGCTTCAACCCCTTAACGTGCACGCTTGAGCTAACTCGAGCGCGCTAAACTGGCCAAACTGTGCACACTCGAGATAATTCGAGCGGCGTTGTACTTTATGTTGCTATAATTTTTCACACACGAATGCAATCGAGAATTGAAAATGACAATGTGAAAGCAAAAAATCATTATCATTTACATGG